GACCTATTATTACTTCTAAAAAGTCTAGGCTAGTAATTTGAGGCCTTACCAACTCCAGTTTAAATTCAATCCTTGAATGAACCAATTGAACTAAAAAGAAGTTATAGGACTAAACAAAGTTAAGTATGTAGGTAGTAAACATTAAACTAAATTGGATATTACATGATTTTCTTCCAAAGCAAGATTAGCTAGGAAGCTAGTATTAGTGTAACTAATTTAAGAAAGCATATATATATATATTGCATAATGCTAAGGACACCAACTCAAATCTCAACTTTTGTGTACTAATTGATGTGACATGTGAGTTGTCACTTTTTTATTAATGAATGTTTAAAATATTGAAATGTCAATTAGTGATAAGAGATTGCATCTATCAATAAAGAAATGACAACTCACATGCCACATTAGTTGATACAGAGAATTGGAATTGGAATTATTGTCCCTAACACTACTCATATATATATATATATATTATACAATAAGCTGGAGACTAGATATAGTTGTCACAATCTATGTAGAAAATTATTGTCCCCAAAATTAGATAAACAATTTCAATCAAGCTAGAACTTTGATAACTTAGCATATGGTGGCGGGCCCAAACATGCTTCAATTATTATTGGGATAAAAGGGTATCTTTTCTTCAAAGCTATCTACCTGCTCTATACTCCATCCTAAAAATTACACTACAAATAATTTATCCTATTTTCACCATAATCATTTTAATGCATTATTAGCATCTCTTATTGCTCTACAATTAGGAGGAGATAATTAGCAATAGACTTAAAACAGGTTTCCTTTTAGGCTTTCTGTTATTAATTAATTACTATTATTATGACTATTTGCTTTTGTTATTAATATTACTTTTTGCAGTTTCGGTTGTCTGCTTTGCAACGATATTTGGTTACATTAATAATTCCATTCATTTTGGGAGGCTTTGCTAGAAAAGAAGAAAATCCCATTTTAGTGGTGTACACACAGTTTACTAATTATCTTGCAGTATACCCTAGCCAGGCATTCATAAATTGGATTCAAGATAGTGAATTCAATGTTGCAATGGATTGAAATGTTGAAACCAGAACACTTAAAGCAAATTCCTCTTTTGATAAATTGATGGATTCAAGGACCACATAAATGAAAATAGAAGAACTACCAATTTATTGTGGTGGACTCTATGAGGTCCCAGCTTTGTACTATGTTAGTTTATGGTGATTTATATATCTACCACAATAGCTATTCTTGGGTGCTTATAGGAGGAACCTCATGTATTTATACCCGTCTACAAGGTTAAAAGTTTTGACTTTTATTTGTTAGAGAGAAGCTTTTTTAGTAGGATTAAAAAAATAAATTACTAGTAGTCATATATTTTTTGTATAAAAATTTATTTATTATGCATATTTTTTTAATATGTTGTGATTTTAATATGATTCAACAATTAAAAATCTGGTCTCCGAGAGAAACTTCCTTCCTTAGAGAATGGCCAGTATAACCTAGAAGTTTAGTTATAGAAGACGGGCTAGCATTTGGATTTGTACTTGAATTTACTGATTCTTTTGCAAAACTTATGTTTAATGATTCTTCCCGAGTCGAATCTTTCTAGACAAATCAAACTCTGAGATGGAAAGTGTTTGGATAGAAAATCACACCATTCAAATTCCTTTATGCTTATGCAGAATGCAATTGGACGCTTAAGTTAGCCAAACAGAAAAGAAAAGAGAAAAATAATAGAATGTGTTTAAGTGAGTAATAGGATGAGAAATATGATTTTAAAATGTTTTTACTTACATGAGGAGAAGTGGTCAATCAAAAAGAATCTTTTAAGTTAACTTTGATTAATTTTCCTCATGGATTCAAAATATTCAAAAATTTCCTAATAAGCAATTATACATTGGCATATATAATATTTGGATTATTCACTAGACGCGGAGCCTCAAAATGTCAATACTCAAGCATTGAACCTATAATCTTGCATTCAAAAACTTCTCTTGCTCAAAAAAAAATCTTGCATTCAAAAAAGAAAAAAAAGGACTTATAATCTTCACATTTAATGGATATTTTGATTCGCCCATAGAGTAATTAGGGGTTGATCTCAAGATACACAAATATAAGTGTTATCTCAAAAATAACCTCGAGTTTAATCTATATACATTGACGTTAAATTCCTTTAATTATTTCCTAATCCGAGCCTCTTAACGTTTTAGTCCTGTAATTTCTAAAAATATTCCCAACAATATTGAAAGGGATGCGTATCACGTGATTCAACCTCTTGGGAAAACTCCTTCAATGGGAAGGAAAAAAAAACCACCATGCTGATGGGATGGATCAGGTAGTTACATTTTTAATTAAGCCTTAATTTCAATCGTTTATGATGAAGACTAGTGCTTCCGATCACCTCCAAGCTATAGTGTTTGGTTGGTAGATTCGTACCATGATTTAAATTATAGTTCGTAGTTCACTATAGTGTTTTTTCTCACAAAAAATACACATAAATAAAAAATAATTTTGAATTTATGAACCAAACATCCAAGACAAATCCCGATCAAACTCCAATCTTTTCAACACTTTTTGTTTTGTTTTGTTTTTTTTCAACTGCCAGCACTAGATACGATATATCAATCTAATTCAGCGGCTGCTATTTAATATTTAAATTAATGTATTTAAAGGTCGTGATGCTATCACCATAAGAAAATGAAGTTTATCTAACTATGAATGCTTTTTCATTATTAATTTCAGCTGCTGTGTAATATTGTAATGTAAATCATGGTCATCATCTCCTATTTTGTTTTGTTTTTTCTTGTCTGTTGCCCTATACATACAAGTTCATTTTGATTGGTAAATGATCACCACCTTCTTTCAAAGACACTAAAAATTTTATCTTCTTATCCATACATTTTATCCAATCTCCAACCTGTCTCTTTTCCCATTGGCCAAGTTACAAAATAGTCCTATTCTGGTGCATTTATATATCTTTATAAACTTTTTTTTTTTATCGGTTTTCCCTCAAAAACTTAAACTGTTAGAAACATTTAGAATGACGTGAGAAACACAAAAAGAAAGATTTACATTTATGCCACAAGTGGCATAAGTTTAAGAACTTTACAGCTCAATCTATATACTAGAAAAAAATCTAATCTATTTATGTTCAGTGGCACAAATATAAAGCTCTTGAATTTCGGTGGCATGTCATGTATTTTTTCTAAATGAGACAGACAAACAGCAGGATTTCAACTCATGTTCAAAATATGCCCTCTTTTTTTTTTTTTTTTTTTTTTTTAATATTGCTCAGTTGTCCCTTTCTTCAATGTTTAATAGTTGCTTCCTTACTTTCTTTCGGAGAATTTTGTATATATTATTTTCTCTTTTTTATTTTATTTCATTTTTTTTTTCATTTTTCTATATCTGCAGGTAGTTTCATACCAATTTTAACGTTTGAATAAAAAACTGCCTAAACATGCATTTATGCCACCAGCTATCTCGAGAATTTTTTGTATAATATTGACACTAATATTATTATTTGGGCAGTTCTTTATTAAAAACATTTTTTTTTTCCTCTTCTCGATTGCATTAAAAAAAATCCATCACACTATTTTCCCAATTAGTGCTGATTTTTTTAAGGCAAAATATCTGGATTTTATGGAAGATCAAAGAGGGCAGTCATTGCAATACCGTAATAATAGACTAATTGTGCCAATATTATAGAAAGAATTCCCGAGATTTTTTTTTTTCCTTTTAGTTTTTACGTTTTGCATAATGTATTATTGTTTTCTATTTTATGTTTTTTTTTCATAGCAATTATAATAACGACCTTCACCAGATTAGATATTGATGCAAATAAGGTATAGTTTAGTAATGTGGTCATTTGTAATTGTTTACAAATTAGAATGCATTTTAGTGTTGTTGAAGCCAACTTTTGTCCATCTATGATCTATGTAAATATTTCCATTTTTTCAATACTCTCCCTCATGTGTGGAACAGACAATGATCTTAATTAATAAAAAAAGCCAACACATGAATATTTAAGAGAAAAATTTGAAAAAATGCACTCCTTAACTCATCTCTTTAGTATCCTAAAAAATAAAAGGAAATAAAATAAAATAAACTCATCTTTTTAGTTTTATGCGTTCACTTAAAGTTTTGTCCCTTAATGTAAACAAAAAAATGGAGACAAAGAATCTTATAGTGTTTAAGAAAATGACAAATATCTTTATGTGATCATGATTTGATCACTTGATAAATAGAAACATATGTAATGCCGAAGATTTGAAGAGTATATTATTGGAGTCTGAATTTTGTATCTCCCACTTTTTGATAACATGTTACTTTACTAACTCTAATGGAAGATAGAACAATAATAGTTTTATATTCTAATATACAAAGTTCAAGCGAAACGAATGGACACCAAAGTCCCATCTGATATTTTGCAAGAAATTGGACATCCAACACACTTCAAACCATGCCTGACCCAGGTTATCAATATTCATACACAATAATTCAACCTTTTTAAAAGGTGATTCAAAGCTAAGAAGTAAGATCACATCTTTTTTTTTTTTTTTTTTTTTTTTTTTTTTTTTTTTTTTTTCAATTTGCTTTTTTAACCAAACAGTAGGCTTACACGTTCACTACAACAAGCATGAAAATCCAAACATGTTTTTGAACAACACTATAGTTTTATACCAAAAGGACGAAAGGAAGGGGTGTGAATTCTTGCAGGCATTTTTTTCTTTCTTTCTAACTCCTGATTAGTACTAAGCCAATTGGACATCCAACACACTTCAAACCATGCCTGGCCAGGTTATCAATATTCATACACATAATTCAACTTTTTTAAAAGGTGATTCAAAGCTAAGAAGTAAGATCACATCTTTTTTTTGTTTTTTTTTTTCAATTTGCTTTTTTGACCAAACAGTAGGCTTACAAAGGGTTCACTACAGCAAGCATGAAAATCCAAACATGTTTTTACACAACACTATAGTTTTATACCAAAAGGACAAAAGGAAGGGGTGTGAATTCTTGCAGGCATTTTTTTTCTTTCTTTCTAACTCCTGATTAGTACTAAGCCAACGGCTGTTACTATAAGAGTGGAGGGAAGGCCAAACTTGAGATGAGTCCAGAAGGAGAGATTGTAGCCGAGGGGCTTAGCTCGGCGCGCCTGCTCGCAGACAATGAGGTTTGCGGCGGAACCTAACAGTGATAAGTTCCCGGCAACTGTGCTAACCCAAGCCAATATCAGCCATGCCCTTTTCGTTTCACCTGGAGATATTGCTGCTGCTGAGGCTGCAACTCTTCCTCCAAGTAGAAGAACTGAAAAACCGATACGTTTTAAGAATTTTAGACTTCTTCTATGGAAAATGGCAAGTGTTACTTGAAGAAGAAGAAGGGGAAAAAAAAGGGCTAAGACTCGTATATATTGATTATAATTAATTGGCAGATCTCATATTTACCGAGTAACTATGTTAGTACATCTCATATTTATTGAGTAAACCCTGCCACTTTTCTTTATTATCAGTAAAACAAGGAAAGAAAAATGTGCAATTCACTACAATTTCCCAAACTCTTATTCATATAGCTTGAAGAGTTTTAAGACTCTTTAAAATGCACAAGAAAACGGCAACTTGGATGATTAAGCAACTTATCTTTATGAAGAACGCATATAGATATAATTTGATCTGTCAAAATAATCATCTTAGGTTAACTTGTTCTGAGATAATCATCAAAAGTGAGGATATGGAACCAACATGTATAGTAGAAAATCATATGTGGAGATAAAACTCAAAGTTAAATCTTATATCCTAAAATCTTATTGGGTGACTCTTTAATTATATGCAAGAAAATGAAAAACTTTGATAGTGAAGAAACCAAATTAACTTTATCATCAAAAGTACAGATTGATCATAATCGTCAAAAGTGAGGAGAGAAAATCGGTTAGACTTACCAGTAGGTACATTTGAAGCAACATTTGAGAGAAAAAGTATGACAAAGGCGAGAATTGCAACCCCACCAGCATGGTTGATCCTTGCATGAGGCTCCATCGCATTCCATAGTGCACTTGGTATTCCTGTTCTGTTGAAGCCGTCCACTGTGATGAACATTCCACAAAAGAACAGCAATAGAGAGTAGGAAACCTTCCAAGAGTCAAAAAAAAAAAAAAGCAAACATTAATAAGATTCACTTCTATTTATAGTAATAGTTAGACTCCAAACCGTCGTTGCAAACATAGCCTAGTAGTAAATCCACACCTGACTCCACCTTAAAGTGTAGAATTCAAATCTTTCTGTTCCAATTTTAAACCAACAAGAGTCAAGAGCTTAGTTTTACCTTGTCTAGGCATGGCCCCGCGTCTTTGAAATCGAGGACCATAAGAACAAGAGCTGCTGTAAGTACAGTCCATGACATGTTCAGCCCCAACAGTAACGCAATAAGCATTCCGAGGGTAACAAGGTAAAGACATGCTTTCCATGATTTTCGCCTCCATTTCTTGACCAAAGTCTCCTTGTTCTCGCTATCCTCAAGTGGGATTCCATCCTCAATAGAATTCGCGATTTCTTTTAGTCCTTGTTCTCCTTCCACCGCAATCTTTTCCTCCAACTTTCTTGGGAATAAATCAATCCCAGCTACCTCTTTTGCAGCACCCGAGTTCCTCCCTGGAGTCCTGCAATGGTTGTTGTCAGTAATTCCGAGGTCATCCCTATACGTGCTTCGGTTGGGAGTGGTTCTAGCATCAATGGAATCTGATACATGGTCATGCTCAAAAGGTGACGTATGTGACATGTGTATTGGGGAGAACTGGTGTGAGGCTGCATCGTCCGCGGAAATGATTTCATCATCCACAGCATTTTCCTCATCTTTCTTGATGTACAATAGGTTCCAATACATGCCTAAAAGGATCAAAGCATTAACAAAGATCCCCACAAGCATAGCAGGGAGAATTCCCAACAAGAAGTCCCCAAAAGAGATGCCACTCTGAATGGCAATGATCAGATTCTGGGGGTTCCCTATTGGAGTGGTAGAAGATCCAATGTTGGCACTTGAGGCCAGTGCTAGCAACAAAGGGTGGGGCGGGATGTTGTTCTGCCTCGCGATTTTCAAGATGAACTCGGTGAGGAGGACACAGCAAGTGTCATTGGTGAAGAGCGCGCTTGACACCGCGGTGAAGATGCAGATTCTGCACAACAAGTCCTTGGCGCCGCGGCTCTTCCACGAGAACAATATCCCCAAGTACTTGAAAGCATTGGCCCTTTCTAGATAGATGCTCACAACCATGGTCCCAAAGAGAAGGCCAAGGACTGAGAGATCAATGGCTGCATATGCCTGCGCCGGGGTTATGACTCTGAAGATGATCATCAGCATGCCGCCGAGGAGAGACCCGGCGGTTCTTCCTATTGGAAGGAATGGAACCGCTGGGAAAACAGCCAGAAACCAGAAGATTACAAAAGCGATTGAGCCAAGAACAACTTTTTCAGGAGAAGCCAAAGCCATTATTCTTGATCAAAAGTCTTGTTCAGAAGCTGAGTGCCTGCTCAGATGTAAAGCAATATTATCAGGTTCAAGCAATTTTTTTACCACCTTATAATTTTGGATTGTTCTGAAGTTGAAAAACCTATATCAATAGATGATACTTCAATAAATGTTTGGACATACATGCACAAAAGCATGCATATGATCAAATATAAAACGGAACTCAAGACTTCAGAAAGTTATTTTTAAGTTGGACAAACTAATTAGCAGAAAAAGAAAAAGTATGCATGACGAAAAAACCCACATTCACTGAATTGGTTTCTATAACTAAACGTTGTATGCAAATGATGACAATATATATATATATATATATATATATTATACATGCATGTTGAACTATCAAAACAGTACTAACATTAACATCACCACAGTTCTTTTCCAGCCAAAAGAAAGAAACTTCAGAACCTCTTATATGTGATACTCTAGCAAGTCAAAAGTGAGCTAGAACTTTATCTCTTGTTGCATGAAGCTCATAAGAAATATATATAAAGACAACACAAGTGCTCTCTTCTTTTGAAGCAATATAAATATACACGTATATAGAATGCTTGTTGAGAAATTTAAATTACTTGTGAGAGAAAACACGACCCGAGAAACAAACAGGTGGCGAATGATATGAAATAAACAATTATTGGTCTAAAACAAAGGCGCATATTGATTAAGCCAGTTCTCAAAAGAATAGCTCAACTTTATTATTCCTTTGGACCTTTGTTTGGCTCCACGGAAAAAGGAAGAGGCACCTGAAGAATATGGAAGCTAAATGTGAGGGTGTAGATTAGCACTTTCTCTACATAGGCAGTCTAAAAAACTTTGAAGTGGAAAGTCACATAAATAACTTGGTTGGAGACAGAGGGAAAACGTGCATGAATGTGTGTGTGTATAAAATATTATATATATATATATATATGTGTGTGTGTGTGTGTGTGTCAAGAGAGAGAAAGAAAGAAATAAGAGAAAAAAAAAAAGAATCTAAAGAAACTTGATGGAGTTGGTAAATTGTAACACTAAAACAAGAAGTAGAGGCCAAAATAAGAAGAACAGTAGTGGGTGAAGGTCGTATACGAGGAAATATACTCTGTGAATTACGGCATCGTTCACTTCACAGATTCAAGTTTTCAATTCGAATTAAGATGTGACATTTTCTAAGAGTTTTTTACTGTAAAAACTTAGAATTAAAAATTTGAATCAGTAAAATGAATGAGATGTGTGTATATATATATATATATGAATATAAGGCTAACGTGGTATATGATGTATTGTCAAGCAAATGCTGAAGTAAAGCTGCAATAACACGTGTCTCACTGAGCGGAAGGATGTGTCTAATTAATCATAGATGCCGGGTTGTATAGGACCAAGTTAGTTCCTTATTAAAACAAGTTCAAATGATTCCATTATACAAGGTATGCATACATGAGCGCACGCGTATATATATGTGTGTGTGTATTTATATATACGCACACTATAATATTTTAAAGGCCGTAATCTGCACTTAGTGTATCTAAATTTTGATTTGGAAGTTGGATTATTTTAAGCTTTTAATTTCGATATTTAGGACCTAAAATTTTCAATTATTGGCATTACAGTTTAATCTATATTTGATGTCAATTAGGGTCCCAAATATCAAAATTAAAAAGTTCAAAGTCTAAACTATCAACCAATAAAAAGTATAGGGTGTGCAAAAATAATGGGACATTATTTCCATTGACTGACGTTTTTTAACTATTAGTTCACAATTGCAATAGATTTTTAAACTTAAAATTCTATTTGCTAGAATTATGAATTCAGTGTCCAATTAGTTATAAAACACTGATGATAGAAGTTATAATGAAAACTAGAATATTCCATTGCATCTCCACACTGCACCTAGACAAAAAGAAAAAAGAAAAAAAAGAAAATTATAAAGGACTTACTTGTAAGCCTAATGATCCCATAAAAATTATGCATGGGAGTCAATGCAAGTGACCCCTACGTTAATATATATAACTCTGTACATGAGTCAGCTATATAAGAAGAGATAATGAGTTGCATGTTTTTGTACTTCAACTAGGCAATTCAATGGTGCACATCACTTAAATTATTTTTAATTTTATTTATTTTTCTTTTTTTTTTTAAACCTTTTCTTAAGATTTTTGAAGTTTAATACTATTATTTGACTTGTTATAGCAATACACTAATATATGACTAACATATTATGTTAATATATTCAACAAGTACATTTACTAATTGTTTTTTTTTATTGATTGGTAGTAATTTGTCAATAATAATTGGACTTTAATTAGTAGAGTTAATATTATTTTACTCTATTTATTTTCTTTTTTAACCTTAATTGTTTAGCTTTTTGAATTTTGATATTATTATTTGACTTGTTATACAAATGCACTAATTAGACTTAAATTAGTATTCAATTTGTAGAGAACATTATTTTACTCTCTCTTTTTTTTTCGATCCTAAAAATTAAGTTAGAAAGACCTCACGCTAGTCATTAAAAATGTTGGCAAGCACTAGACCAACCAATGTGTACCTGTTTTTTTTTTTAACTTTAGGGCGGCTTACTAAGCCTATTTGAACTTTAATACAATTTTCAAACATAAACTAATAAGTAGTTAAGCCACTTGGAACCGACCCTTAACGAGGATTATGTAAAGAAAGTTTTAGCCCATGATACTTGTTATGCTGATGATTGAGTTGTTGGTTTGTCGTTGACAGATTCAGAAATATATATATATATATATATATATATATATACACGTATGTGTCTATATATATATAACGCAATTGCCTTAAATTCAACATCCTGATTAATTAGGTATGTATAATTTAAGCTCGTGTAACATCATCTATGTGTATAACACTGTTTACTTTAATGTTACATTTAATAAATACAATTCAACACATCTAACATCGAGTGTTACACATAAATATAAAAAAAGTTGCACATACAAGTGAAGCATGTTACAAATATATATAAAAAAGTTATATTTTCAGGACTTTATGACTACCGGACTTAAAACTTTGTCTATATAATACATACATATATATATATATGTATTTACATTTATTGATTGATTGATTGAGTTACTGCATGCACTTAGCTAGAAGCACTAAATGGGGGAAAAATGAGATTTGAGAATCAAGGAATATTGTATCTTTGTGAATGCCCTTCTTTATGGATTTTGAGGTGGATGTCACTGCATCTTAGCATATGCGCATTTCTCTACTTGAAAGACGGACACTATTTTTATGTGCCAAAAGTAGACATTTCTTGGGGAAAATTATTAAAAACGAATGTCTTTTGTCCATTTGCCAGGGGAAAAAAAGAGTGATGTAAAAGTTAATTGCAATGTCATATTCCACCTCTTCTCTCTCATGTGTTGTGTGTTTATATATGTGTATATAAATATATCTATCTATATATACACACGCGTACAAACAAGGAAAGAAGGATTTTTATTGCTTAATTGGAGTTAGCCTGCATGATAACGCCTCGTTCGTTTCGCTTATTCGAGTTTAGAATTCGAGTTGATATATGTAATTTTATGTGAGAGCTTTTTACTGTAGCAAAAAAGTTAGATGTGACTACTTGTGAGAGCTTTTTACTGTAGTAAAACTCGAATTCTAAACTCGAATAAGCGAAACGAACGAGAAATCTGGAAAACATTAGGATCTCGTTCATTTTACCGATTCGAGTTTTGTTATAGTAAAAAGTTCTCAGAAACAGTCACATCTAACTTTTTTACTACAGTAAAAAATTTCACATAAAGTCACATCTTAACTCGAATTAAAAACTTAAATCAGCAAACTAAACGGACCATAAATATAATTTTTTTTATGTTTTACTTAAATAGTGATATGTAACAGTTTGTAGAGGGTTTTAGGACTTGAAGATCAACATTGCACCTAGCGGCATTGCTTGAGTTTATTTTAATATTTAAAAAAAGTAGGGTCAAAATGTAACCCCTCACTTAAGTATACAAATAAAATTGGGATTGGATATATATAAAAGTTAGTTAGGAAATAGAGCCTCCAATTGACTCTGATTGGACCCAATATTATTATTATTAGTAATTATTAGTAATTATTTTTTGAGGAAGACCCAATATTATTACTACTACTACCTTCGGAAATGACTGCCGCTCTGTTAATGTTTAGTCTTTTCATTCCACCTCCACATGTTAAAAAGAGTAACATGTGTTATGAATGACAGCCACCCAAATGTCTAATCCGCAGAAGAATAGAATTGAAAGACAAAGTTTTACATTATGGACCCCACTTACAACGATTCTGTGCCTTTGACTAAAAAAATAATTAGATCAAGGTGTAGATTCATGCAAGTCAGCAGGA